TAGTACTGCGTGAACACGTTGGTGATAATGCTGTACTGGATCCACTGGAAGGCGTTCACGAGGGAGTACAGGCTGAAAACGGCCAGCACGGCGAACCGGCGGGCGTACACCCTGGTCTCCAGCCTTTTCTCTTCCTCCTCCTCGCCTTCTCCTCCTCCTCCTCCGTTAGGTAGCATCACCTCTCTTTCATCAGGCGGAGCTTCCTTGTCCTCCTCCAGCTCCTGCGCGCGCTTTGAGACTGTCTCCCCGGCCCCGCCCGCGTGCACCGCTTCGTTTGGCCGTTCCTCGTCCTCTGGCTCCTTCCTGCCGACCGTGATGTCGTCAGGTGCGCCGGTACCCGCGCGCAGATGCTCCTGCACGAGCTCACCGGCGACCATGATGCGTGTTCGCAGCCTTTTGCTCTTTTTGCGCGATGCTGAGTCCAGAGATGATCGACTGAGGCGAGCTGAGCAGGAAACAGAGAGGTTTCCTCATTTGGTTACCGGTGAAAAAGAAGGCTGAGCTGCAGATGACTGAAATATGAACAACTGCTGACTACACATCCCTAAATATGAAAATACTCGAACACTCAACACTCCTTAGAAAACAATACCCGGCTTCTGTCAAACAGCGTGCTGCTCCCGGTCTGACACACTTGATTCTCTCTCTCTCTCTCTCTCTCTCCCTGTCTGGTGGTTTCAATACGTCTCTCTACCTTTTAAGCCGACTCTGACACAAAGCCTTTCGATAGCGATGAGCCAATAGCAGAGCAGCATGAGTTTGTAGTATCTAGTAGTGCTGCCTGTCTGGGCGTATGTGTGAATGGTAACCGTGGAAGCTCTGATGCACACGTAAAGAAAAGTCTCTGCTGGGAAGTCAAAACGAGTCAGTTTCGTCACTAAATCATCTTCTCTTTAATCTGCTTTCTAATACCAAAAAGTAACGCGAGATCATTTAAATGTTTGTGGATGTTAGACTGTTTCTAATTTCTAGCAAATTAGATGAGTGAGTTATTTTCATATGTAATCTGTGCTTCTTGTGAGATCTCTCGGTACCATAGTCAGTGGTTTCTAGAAACACGGCCTTAAACTGTCAGACTACTCTCCCGTGGAAACAGCTCAGTTTGGGAGCAATAGACACACCCTCTACTTTTAGAGCCCTGCTTTAAACAAAGTAGAGGCTGCTTTGTTTAAAGCAGGGCTGGAGCAGGCACGCTTGACTCACCTGATATTTATGCTGTTGTATGCCCAGGGTGCTGGGAGACTTCCCATGATGCACTAAGCATTTCCTTCTTTTTCTTTTTACTCCTGCTGCTAATATGCCACTACTGTATGCGACTAATGTTTGGCCACTCTCTCGTGGATTTTATGTTTTATCTACACTCCTCTTTCTTTGGTCACAACAGATGGTTGTGCCTCCCTGAGCCTATGGGAGACGTGGATAAAACAGTGTTCTTCCTCACCACAGTCGCCAAGCCCTACCTTAATGGGGATTATCAGATTGCAGGGGTTCTTCCTCTACTGTAAATGGTATACAAGTAAAGATGAACAGAACTGATTGAAAAAATATAAAACTAATCAGTGTTCCTTTAGTCTGTAGCTACGCTGCCTGTTCCATATACTCAAAGTAGCCTGTCCATATGCTGAGCATTATCTGCTCTAATCCTAGTGTGACCCAGTGAGACTGGATGCCGCAGCAAGTCTGATCCTACAGGTGATTCACACCTACAGTAAAATCTACTCGCATCTGATCTCTTTACTGGACTTTAAAATGCAAAGCAAGCAACATTTCACAGCCCTTTCTGTGTTTCTTTTCCAATGAATGGCAGTGCAGTGTTGTTTGACTTCACTGAACAATGTGTAAATATTCAGCTTCCAATCATTTATAAATCTCCAGCTTCTAAATATCCCAGTTATTATTATTAGGTCCTTTCTCAGTGGGCTCAATCAAACTCCTGTCCACTCCGCACGTCACAACTACGTTAATTATACACAGTGGTTGGTTTTATTTATTTTGTTTTTATGCAGCTGGCTTTACAGGTTCTGCAGACTGTAGAATACCTGAGGTTGAATCTCGTACAAGGCTTGTTTTCTCATATATCAGTGTTTTGTGAAAGCCTGACAACTAAAGAATAAAACAAAACCAAAGGAAACTAAGATCACACCTCGACTAAATTTGAAATTTAATATCTGATGTGGAATTCTTACTCCACATTCTAGTAATCTCTAGGCGAGGGATGTTCTACTTTCGCTCGCACAGAGTGGCTCATCTACCTTAATAAATTATCTTTGAGACCCCTCTTCCGGTTTCTTGTTGCCCAGGTAACAAGTGCATTCTCACAGCTTACCTTTGGATAATTTATGAAAGGAAATCTAGTCCACATTAATACTTCCTACAAAGATAAATAGTAATGTCCGGGTATGAGGATCGGGCTCTGCTGGAGCTGAATCAGAGCAGGGAGACGTGGTGTCAGGTGGAGATGAACCCCCGGCAGGGCTGGGAGAGATCACAGAGGAGACATTACCGGAGTCACTTGAAGACCAGCCCGGTTCTCCTTACAGCTCTGACCGGCGGACCGCAGCGCAGAGAGGCCTGCACCCAGCGGCCTGCCCCCGTCAAGCTCCCGGAGAGAAGGCACTTCGAGGAGGGCTGTAAGAAGGCTTCTCTGAAGATTTTACAGAAATGTTTCTGTAGATCTGATATGGACACGAGAAACTGTGTGTCTGTCCCAAATACTTTAAAGATATTAATATTTAATTAGGTAATTAAATTCTAAAAGGCTGAAAGATTCAATATTTTAAAACTACAGCAAACCTGTATCCACAGTTATTTAGTTTATCAAAGAATCCCACTTTCCAGATATTCCAATTTCCCGTATTACGTTATTAAGGATGAAATTTGTTTAGTATCTTCATTTGCTCCACAGTACAGAGAAATGAAATGAAATGTTAGTAATGAGATAGTTTGCACACATGCCATTACATTAGGACCCTACAGGTCACCTGTTTTATGACTGCTGTTGTCAAACATGTGGCCCACATGTTTTTGCTGACAGACCCAGCCTCAGTAGGTCCTTTCCACCTCATTGGATGGTTTTGCAGAAAAGGAGAGCATGGCTGTTTAACGTGCTAAATCTGAGCCTCAAACCTGAAACATGGTCAGTTTCTCAGCCTTCTCATTAAAAGATTTTACCCACAATGTGTCATACAACACCTTACTAATCCACTTACACCTAGGAGCCACGCTGATGCCTTTCTCTAACAGTAGACGGGAAAAGTAAAAAACGAGGCGTATTATTATTAGCTTGATGTTAAAAACTTGATGTAGTGGTCTTACCAGTCCAGTCTACTTATGGTTAAATTGATGGTATGTGGCCCACAAAGTAAAATGAGTTTCACATCACTTACCCAGGCAATCATCTAATGCAAATTTACCACTTGTACTGTAGTTAACTGGCTTAAAGTTTAAAATCTGTAGTGCACCACTTAATTTCTGCATGTCTTGATCAGGCTGACATAAACATATTTATCAAAAACATGAGGTGGAACTATGCTGTATCAATGATTTATGGAGGAAAACAAAACTGATGCTATTCTTCTTGCTTTTATTTAACTGAAATTCTACTTAAGTATTGTTTTGTTAATGTTCAATAGAACTTGTTTGAAAAACAAGTTTGAGAACAGCCGTATTATTTGATTTTCTATAAAGTGATCAAAAAGAAAATGAGCAGCTGTTGACTCCTGAGATCTGTCTCTTCTCTTCCAGATAAAACTCACCTGGTCTAGAGAGCTGCAGCCTTAGAAGATGACCTGAGCTCATACTGCAGATACACCAGGGACCCAGACGTGGGGCAACTTTCAATATTTTATTTTCATAACTAATATAGGACGTGATACAAACCCCCAAATACGCTGGAGATCATGGCACATGAGGTCTTAAAACATTTGATTGTACTTGTTATTGACAGTACTGAAATTAAAAACTCATTTTTAAAAAATAATTTCCATGCATCACTCGCTTTGGTCAAGAAAGACATCTCATTATTAAAATGATCTGCAAGACTTTGCAAAAAGCTTCTAGCTTGTGTGAAACTTAAAAAAAACCCCTCAAAAGTAAAGAAAAACCTTTCTGATATTCAAACGTTAGCAGTGTTTATCACGTGTTTAAAAAAGTTCACAGCCTCGCAGTGAAACACTGAGGGGCGGACAGTAGTAATAGGGCATCGTCACTGATTTCTAGAATCGATTAGATTCCGATTCACAAGGTCCTGAATCGATTCGATTCAATTCGATTCAATTTGAATCTGGGAAATTTTGCCTCAGACAGTCAGAAATATTATATATAGGTGTGAGCATCAGAGCAGATGGCTTTGTGTCAAAGTAGCTGAAGATAAAACACAGAGAAACATGAAGGTGATTGTCCTGGCCTGGGATTTTATAAAAATATTCTGCAGTAGATCAAAAACGAAAGAAAAACATTAATCAACATATGAACATTACCTCTGAAGTTAGAGGTTTTATTAGAGACACAGCTGAGCGTTTTGCATTTTGCATAATTTAAAAAGTTTAAATTTGTTCAGAAGCCTGTTGAACAGCAGAAATTACGTTTTCTTTTCGGAAGTAATTAAAGGGGGGAAAAAAACAGCGGCCGACAGCACTGTAAACAACGGTAGACTTGTGCGTAACAAGCAAGCGAATAATGCAGAAAACAGTACAGAGAGAGAGAGAGCTGTGCATGAAGTGTGATTTTATCGTGGTGGAAGCAAAACAGCAAAAGTCAGGGTGAATTCATGACACTGTTTATGTGAAGCGTTTGGATCTTCTTTTGCTGCAGGTTCACTCAATATATTTGGAGAGAGATAAAACTAACAGCTTTAGAATCAGCGCAAAAAGGGCGTAAACACAAAGCGCGACCGCTTTCAGCCCCGAACGTGTCCGTGCCGTCGGGTGAGAAAGGCGACATCTCACTGATTCGTCAGCAGGTCCGCGCTTTGTGTTTACGTCTTTGTGCAGAATCCCTGTTCCTGCTCGCATTTACTGTTTTAGCTGTTTGGTGGTTCTTGAAATTTTGTGAGGTTTAACCTGAGATTCTGGCGTTTTGGGCAAAATAAATTTATATTAAAAAATTGATTCACCCCTAAGTAGTAAAGGGAGTTATCTTTTCCATGACGTCACACACTGGGTGAGCCTTGGATTTCGAAATCACGCTCATGTCACTGTCAGCGTGTTTTAGCTTTGGGGAAGAGTCTGTATGCATTGTGTGCGGTGACCAGCCGAACAGTTTCTGGAGGGAGACCTTTGACATCGGCGATGTAGCGACATGGCAGGATGATGTTAGCGGGCTCATTCCTCACCTGGCAAACAAAAGACAGATTAAACATGTCTGCACTTGTGGCGCTGTGTCTCAATATGATGATGACTTTAAAGCCTTTAAAACTTACATGCTGGTGAAGCCCCAGGGCAGGAGAGTCTGTCTCAAGACAAATGTGCTCCAATGGGATCTGCTTGATTAACTTGTCTCTCTGTGTGGCGGTACTAAAACTGTTTATTCAGGTGACTCAGCAAAAAATGTTAAAAAATGTTTTTCCACAGGACGACATTTTTCATCTCACCTGTTTGCTTCTGCAGACGGCAGGGGGAAAAGAGAAGAGGTAGCCCGCCTTCACACCTTCCAGAGCGACCGATGGCTTCCCCGCAAAGTTATGAAGCAGAGCTCGGCTGATGCCTGACAGAAAAACAGAACATGAGATAACGTTCAGATGTCTGCACGGTTCGCTGGAAACTAACACTCACCTTGTTCCTTCATGGTGTCAATCGTGACCCTAGCAGCTGATCTGGAGTGGACGTTCCTGAACAGAAATTCACAATCGACACGTTACACAGACTTCTATGTGGATTAAAAACCTTCACTTAGCGACTTGTGCATGCTCGGCAGACTGACTGTTTGATTATTTCTGGGAAACACAGGCTCGGGGTAAAAAGCTCAATGTGAGCTTCATATTTTTATTCTTGGACTCTGCATGATTTGTTCATTCATGTTTACACTGAGTCTTGATGCACTGGGACTTCTTTAAGCTAAATATAAGATCTTGTTTGGTCCTAAAATGTGTTAAATGAAATCCGTCATTTAAAAGTTCAAACACTTTAAAAGTTCAAACCTTAAAGCAATGAAACAATGGAATTCAACACAGTGGAGTACACAAATATAAACCCTGTGTTATATTTGTGAAAAGGGAAAGAACTTGAATTTGAACTCTAACAACAGCTATTTTAATTAGTCCTCACACAGGTAAGTCCAGCTCCTTGGCGACACTGAGCTGTTTGATGAAGACGGTCACTTGGTCATCTCTGTCCTGCTGAGTCGGGGCGCACCAGGGAGTGAAGTCTAAACCAATCTGAAAAATTAAAAGAAGGCTGTTATGGCCCTAGCAGGGCCTCCTGTGAAATTGAGCTTGTGTGGGTGTGTCCTGCTCTCTCCTACCGTAGGTGCCACCCTTTTTGCACAGCTGACTCTAATCAGCAATTAGGACCAGAGACAGGTGAGGTCTAGTGCCAAAGAGCCTTGTTGGGTTTTGTAGGTGGCCTGCTCTGTGGAGAGGAGTGTGTTTTGGTGACTAACCCTTTTTTGACTTACTTTTCAGTTTATTGACCAACTACTGAGTTTTGTTGTTTTCCTTCTTTAAAATGTGATAGGGCTTGTCCGTCTCTTTTAGTTGAATTACTAATAAAAACATTAATAAAACCCTTTAATTTAACCATTTTGCCTCCCACGTCTCCTTTAGATATTTCCCTCATCCCCTGGACCCTTTAAGAGTACGTAAAAGTTTGGGGCTGATCCGGGATTTGAAAGTAGGACCTTACACACCCCAAGCCCAAATCGTAAAAAATAAATACTTTTTTTTTTTTAAATCAGTCATCCCATCCCAGACTACTATTAATGTAGGAAAAGTTTTAGAAGACCAGAATCACTTTGCATGTCTTTTTCACTATGATCGTTCCAAATTTTAAGTTGTTTTTAGAACAAATTTAATCAAAATTTCATTTCCTGAAAAGGTACACTCAGACTAGCATCTTAATGCTCACCATTAACATGACATAAACATTTAACGCACATCTACAAGTTCAGTATTCAAAGGGTTTATGTATGCTACGGTAGAAACTAAACCTTGGTCTCAGGTTCGCTCTTTAAACTCTCAACTTTGATCTATGTCAGTGAATCGTTACTGATTAAGTTTCATAAGAGAAGAAACATAAGCAATTTCTATAAGAAACAGAAATGAGGCGCACCAAATGCTACATTGGATTTGTGTGTGCCACCTTAAAAACTGACACCTGCTCTGGTGCATGAGCCTCTGGCAAGGAAGAGATTTAAGTCGCCATCTCTCAAGTGAGTCAGTTCTCACAGAGCTTATGTCCAAATGAAGTCGAGTCAAACTGGTTTGATTGCTCAACCTAAAACCACAAAGTACCCTCAACCACTCAAGCATCCGCAGATTAAAGAAAAAACTGCCAGACCAGATATGAGGGAAAAGGTTACAGATTCAAACTGTAGCTGAACTAAAATGTGCTCAGTGAAGCAGAGGATGGAGCTCTACGTCTCCAACCTAATCCAACAGCTGGAAACAGCAGTAGGAGAGTGTCGATTTAGCCCTGTGACGCCTGAAATGTGCTGAAAAAACACACATTCCTCATTGAGACCATGTAGAAATTCCCTGCATCATCAGCGCCTGCTGGAGAGCAGTTAGTGTGTGTGACTGTCTGTGAGCCTGAGAAAGATTGTTACTGACCGTGTGCATTAACCTTTTCTTACAAGCGAGATTAGCAGGTAAATCGGGGCTTGTAACAAGTTTAATCTGCTTTGCTTCAAGACAGGTTACGTTAACAATGTAAAGATTTTTTTTAACATGGGGCAGACACAGTGTGTGTTAGTGTGTGTGTTTGTAACAGTTGAATCCATGACCACCCTTAAGCCTTCAGAAGCTGATATAACTTAAATTATCTATGAAGTCTTCCAGTCATGGAATTATTTATTATATAAAACTTTGGTTAAACTTTTTCCTACTGAGCTCCATTTCATGGAGTCTGAGATGCAGCACACTTCTTAGTCAATTTAAAAAGACGTTTAGCTTAGACATATAAACATGTTTTATTAAATCCGCAGAAAAATTAAAAATAGTTTAATAAAAGAGATTATTATAAGGTTCAGTTAGAGGTTAAAAGTCTACCTCTCCAACAGCGACCAGGCGTTCTTTGTGGTTATAGAAGTGTGGAAGGGCGACGTCCAGATCCTGTAGAACATATTTCTTTATTAAAGGTGAGGCTTAAAAAAGAAAAAAAAACATTAAAAAAAAATATTTTTCTGGGTATTCAGCAAACACTGATCTACTGGAAATTTCCCACACCATCTTCAGGGTTTACAGAGAATAGTCTGAAAAGGAGAAAACAACCAGTGTGCAGCAGTTCTGTGAGTTTAAATGTGAAGTTAATGACAGTGATCAAAGAAGAATGGCCAGACTGCTGCAACAATAACTCAAACAACCAGTTGTTATAGCTAAAGTGTGCAGAAGAGCATCTCTGAGCACACAGACACGCACTCACAGATACTTGAAGCAAATGCGTAGCAGAAGACCACAATGGTGGTCTGTTTACATCATTTCCTTAGGGATTAATAAGCATTCTGTTTCTGATGGGCTGCCGCTCCCGTCAGCGAAGAAAGGAAAACTGACGCTAAAATTAAACAACAATAAATTTGAAAAACAGAAAGCCAGAATTTGGTATAAACAACATGAAATGAATCCTGCCTTGTATTAACTGTTCAAGTCTGCAGTGGTGTAATGGTTTGACACTTTGCCCCACCTTAGAACAGATTGAACATCCTTTAAACATCACAGCCTTTCTGATTACTGTTGCTGACCATTTCCATCCCTTTATGACCACAGTGTGCCTGTCTGTTGATGGTTGCTTCAAGCTGGTTGGTACATCCTTGTCAAACTAGTTTCTTGAACATGTATGCAAATGTCCTCCACAGTCACCAGATCTCAATCCAACAGAGCACTTTAGGGTGTGGTGCGGTGGAACAGGAGATTCATATCATGGATCTGCAGCCAACAAATCTGTACTGGATGGATAATGCTATCATGGACCAAAATCTCTGAGGAATACTTCAAGCACCTGGTTGAATTGCTGCCATGAAGAATTAAAGCAGATTTCTACCTTAGTAAGCAAACTACATGAATCACTGGACACAGTCTGGATACAGATTTCCTTCCCATTTTTTCATGATTATTTAAGTAAAATATTTAAAAGACAGATACACTACACATTGGTTCACTACCTGAGGTTTCACGCTGCGCTGCTGAGGGCCCTCAGCAGCCTGCAGCGGATGGATGCCAAAACACGGAGCCACGAGATCTGGATAGCTGTGAGAAAGGAATTCAACATAACATCAAAGATAATAAATGCAATGCTTTCCAGCTGTGAACAGCTGTGCAGAACAGTATATACACACATTTGTTTTCTTTACACTCTGCATGACTGACTTTAGAGGAAAAGTAACACAAGCTCTGTTCTTACTGTGAGCGCACCTCAGTGTGTCTGTGTACTTTTACTATACAAATATTAGTTCAGAAAACCTAACCTTTAGTTGCACCTAAGTTCCTGGATAGTTGTTTTTATTTCATCAGCAAATAACTGAAAGTTTCTCCTGTCTTATTTCAGCTTAATGATTCTTTTAGGCTTTATGCTGTTGATGTCGTTTTTCTTCAATTTGGTGTCCTCTCAATAAAAAGCAAGCAGCATAATATATGTTTGTGAGACAGACAATGTGCTTTGCAGACGTGCAGACCTTTCCTGCAGCTGGAGAACTCGGGCAAACTCTCCGACTTCTTCTGTAACTGCAACCAGAGTCTTCACACCAGCCTACACATAGACACACATAACTGCATGCTTACTATTTTAAATATTATATTAAACTGCACTTATTGTACTTGTGTGAAACAAGATGAAACATACAACTACACGTTTTCTTCATCTGTAGTTTCAGGCTGTATTTCCAAATGGCTCTGAAAATATCTACAGGTTTCAAATGGCCAAGATCTGTAAGGCATATGTGAAGGTATAAAATTCATTATGCTTACCTCCCTCGTCCTCAGGATCACATCCTCGAAATCCTAAAAGTAAAAGAAAGGCTATATTTGAGTAGTATATATAAAGCTAGGAGCTGTAATCAGACTGTAAATAAAAAGAGTAAGTAATGCTCCAAATTTCCTGCAGTTCATGAAGAGGTGACGGATAATTTCCAACATGTGACAATTTACCTCTTCAAACTCATGAGCCGAGATATGACAGTGACAATCAACGAAGCCATTCTCCATTGAAAATCAACAAATAAAAGCTAAGAGACCAAATAATATTAGAATAACTTCTCTGCGTTAGTAGCATAGCTAACAACCATCCCGGAACACTCCTCCAGAAATAAACGTTGTTCCTTCACGGTCATTTATGGTAGAAGGACCAGTTCGTTTCTGTTCAGTTCCGGGTTGCGTTAAAAAAAAATATAAACAAGTTGGCGGTAAAGATGGAGGCTGTAGAGAGTGAAATCTTACCAAGTGAGGAAACAAATCCAGAGTACAGGGTCCAGGTAACCTCGAAGAAAGTAGTAAGTGAGCAGGTGAACAAATACAAAGAACTTTTAAAGACGGCTCTGGACGGGCAGCCGGAGGACTTTCCGGAGGAGACGAAGCGAGTTTTACTGCAGGAGCTGCTGGCAGTGAGTCCGAGTCCTTTCTCACATTTTGGGATTGACTGTAACTGAACATGATGTGGGCAATGCTAAACTGTAGATGCCAGGCCGCTGATAGTTGTTTTAATGAAGGCGTATTTATAAAATCTTTGCATATATACTTTACAGCTTGATATTAATAAGCCACATCTGTTAAGCTCACCAGTAATAGTTATGAGGTCAGGCATTAGTGTCTGTGGGCTGTGATGTTAGCAGACCACACTGAGAGTAGGTGGAAAAGAGGAGATGGAGGTATGCTCTAGAAAGTCAGTTGAAGCAAGACAGGATAGATATGTGTGGATGAGAGGAAGGCAGGTGTAGCAGCGAAGATGCAAGGAGCGGATGTAGCGAAGGTAGAGGAGCCTAAATACCTGGGGTCACCTTCCAAAGAAATGGACAGTGCACAAGAGAGGTGGAAAAAGATGATAGTTGAACGTGATGAGACAAAATTAGAAATAAGTACATCAGAAGGAAAGTTGGAAAGGTGAGGTACAGATGGTGTGGAAAAGTGCAGAGGAGGGATAATGGCTCTATTGGACAATGGATGTTGAAGATGGAGTTGAAGAGAAGATGAGGATGATGGGTTAGGATGAGATGGAGACAGATGATCTGCTGTGATGACCCCATTTTTTGATCTAGTTATTTTTACAAATCCTTTATGCACCTATGATTACAGACTGTCTGTGCCAAAAAGAGACAACAGACAGACAGCTGAAAAAATGCCACTATAGTGATTTTTTTTTTTTTTTAAATTACATAGAGGAAATCTGATATGGTGACAGTACTAAATTTAACTTAGGAGTAGTCTAAATGCTCTAGGATGGAGAATAATTAAATGGAGAGTGTGTAAATACTGTGTGTTTGTTTGCTTTGTGTTTTAAGTTGTGCTGACTGCTGTGTGGATACTTGCGTTATAAACTTACAATCTACAGATATTGCCAGCTGTCAGTCTTCTAACGAATTATTTTATTGTAACCAACGCAGCGTTTGAAGTTTATGTTGTGACTCGTTTCAGTTTTTGCACTGACTAAATCCTCAAAGACAGGCATGACTGTTTTAGTCTTTTTATCACACTATTATTTTAAGTACACAGTAAGTGCATCCCACGTATTTCGAGCTGTGTGCTTCATACTGAATCATCATCACGCTGCAGCAGAAGAAACCAAGTTTTCATGGACATTTGGGGAAAACAGTGTTTCAGTTGTGCAGATTATTTGTAGCCCACTTTAAGCTTCATGTGAACTAAGTACAGAAACAACTGTGATCAACGTTTGACCTTTGTATGGAGGACTGTACAGTGTTCATATAATAACAGCAACAGAGTTTCCTGAAAATGATCCTGGTAGTCTTCTTTGGGACTAGATTAATCAGGACAGTCCTGCAAAATAAAGTGTGATATGGCTTCCTGTGTTGACCAAAATAGAAACGTTATCAAATTGATCTGATCCTGCTGCAGTTGAACAGCTGACATCATATTTTAATGTGTGTTGCCACTGATTGTGTGTTTGTTTATTTGAAACTGTGCAGAATTTTGAGGCTGCTGTTCAGGCTAACGTGTTGGTGAATGGACGGCCTTGGGAGGAGGCGCCCGATGATGAAGGTGATCCTTCGCCCTTTTCATACTCTTGTTTCAATTATTATATTTTAAGGAAAGCTTTATTAAGTCAACTATGCTGTCTGTTTCTCTACCACCAACACCCTCAGCAGAGGATGAAGCTGTAGATCTGGAAAGCCTCCTGGACGATACTATTGTTGAGACCACAAGAAGGCGCCGTACATTCCCCAAAAAGATCCTTCCTCATGTGGTGCATGCCCTCAAGGCTGAACGGAAAATCATGGTGGGGCTTTTTTTTTCTCCTTGTTTATTTTTTGATTTACCAGCTCTGATTATTGTGCATTACTCTCAATTTGAGTTTTTTGTATAAAAATAAACAAATATATTGAATAACTAAAGTGCCAAGTGTTTTTCAAAGCAAAGAGTATTTTCTATCTTTGAGAAAATGTTTATTGCTAATTATAGATTTCACAGAATCTTTCATGAACAGATATTTGTCTAAAGATTGAAACAAACTGTTTCATGTTTCAGGGGCTGTATGAGCAGGCCATCAAACCTCAAGAGGTGGTCAAAGATCCTGATCAAGGTAGTAGCCTCTGATCATTTCTATAGACACAGACATTTTTTATTTTAGCTTCTTCCCCAAACACCAAATCTTTACAGGTATACCAGTGACTGTTCACCTGCAGCTGACTTGAATTGCTGAGCACCAGCTACAGAGTGCTGTACTGCTGGCTCAGGACAGTGTTACTGTCTTACTTTGGAGAGTAAATTTAGACATCTTATGGTTACGTGTAGAGTCAAAAAGAAAAACACATAAAGCGCCCTTTGTTCAGTGAGGGGGTGTTTGCTATTTTAAAGTGCATTTAGGAAGAACTGGTTCTTTTTCAAGGCAGACATGAAAGTTTCAGCATCACTGAAGTGAAATACCTAAACACATCAGTACTTCTTGTTCACTGTTTTTAGTAGAATGAAGGAAAGGCTGTGAATAAAAACATATCGGCAGGTTGTAAATGACTCATGAAGCAATAACAATAGTTTTACTGTAGTATCGCAGGTCACACAGTCATTCATACAGTTGCCATGAAAAATGTTTATTTATTTATATATATATATATATATTAAACTTAAGGAGTAATTTGCACAGATGTTGGTGAGCAGAGCTGCATTACTTTCATAAGCGTGTTACTAAAGAGTAGTGAGTAGGACCCAATGAATTGCTGGCAGTTTGCCACTTTAAATGGTAAATGCACAGAATTTTCTACCTTATTTTGCCACTCAAAATGCTTTATCAGTCATACATATATAAGGTATCACTCATTTACACACTTTCACTTTTTCCTACGTGTTAGTGCATTTTATCATTCTGTGAAACTTGAGATTCAGTATATTTCCCATTGATTCTTGGAGATGAAGACTGGAGCCTTCCAATTAGTACATGACCTGCTCTACTTCTTGAGCCACAGCCGCCGAATCAATCGCTTTAAAATAAATTTGAATCAACATTAGCTTGAAAACGATAAATGATGCTTGAGGAGCAAATGCTAGCATGGCCTCCTGAACAGTAGTAAAAAAGACCGCGCAGTTCTTTATCACAGCAGAATATGCAAAACCTCAACATATCAAGCAGATATGTTTACAGTGGGGCAAAAAAGTATTTAGTCAGCCACCGATTGTGCAAGTTCCCCCACTTAAAATGAAGACAGAGGTCAGTAATTTGCACCAGAGGTACACTTCAACTGTGAGAAAATCCATGAATCCACATGGTAGGATTTGTAAAGAATTTATTCGTAAATCAGGGTGGAAAATAAGTATTTGGTCACCTCAAACAAGGAAAATCTCTGGCTCTCACAGACCTGTAACGTCTTCTGTAAGCAAGCTTTTCTGTCCCCCATCTCGTTACCCTGTATTGACACTCGGCACCTGTTTGACTCATCATCTGTTAAAACAAGCACAACAAAACCTTGGTTCCACGCCTCAAACCAGTCAAGACTCACAAACTCCGCCTACTGCGCCAAGACCAAAGAGCTTTCGAAGGACACCAGGAAAAGTATTGTAGACCTGCACCAGACTGGGAAGAGTGAATCTACAATAGGCAAGCAGCTTGGTGTGAAAAAATCAACTGTGGGAGCAATCATCAGAAAATGGAAGACATACAAGACCACTGATAATCTCCCACGATCTGGGGCTCCACGCAAGATCTCATCCCGTGGGGTCAAAATGATCATGAGAACGGTGAGCAAAGATCCCAGAACCACACGGGGGGACCTGGTGAATGACCTGCAGAGAGCTGGGACCAAAGTAACAAAGGTCACCATCAGTAACACACTACAACGGCAGGGAATCAAATCCCGCAGTGCCAGACGTGTTCCGCTGCTGAAGCCAGTGCATGTCCAGGCCCGTCTGAAGTTTGCCAGAGAGCACATGGATGATACAGCAGAGGATTGGGAGAATGTCATGTGGTCAGATGAAACCAAAGTAGAACTTTTGGTATAAACTCAACTCGTCGTGTTTGGAGGAAGAAGAATACTGAGTTGCATCCCAAGAACACCATACCTACTGTGAAGCATGGGGGTGGAAACATCATGCTATGGGGCTGTTTTTCTGCCAAGGGGACAGGACGACTGATCCGTGTTAAGGACAGAATGAATGGGGCCATGTATCATGAGATTTTGAGCCAAAACCTCCTTCCATCAGTGAGAACTTTGAAGATGAAACGAGGCTGGGTCTTCCAACATGACAATGATCCAAAACACACCGCCCGGGCAACAAAGGAGTGGCTCCGTAAGAAGCATTTGAAAGTCCTGGAGTGGCCTAGCCAGTCTCCAGACCTCAACCCCATAGAAAATCTGTGGCGGGAGTTGAAAGTCCGTGTTGCTCGGCGACAGCCCCAAAACATCACTGCTCTCGAGAAGATCTGCATGGAGGAATGGGCCAAAATACCAGCTACTGTGTGTGCAAACCTGGTAAAGACCTATAGTAAAGGTTTGACCTCTGTTATGTAACACAAAAGACAAGAAAATTATAAAAGAAACCGTACAAGATAATAAAAAAATTGCCAACACATATGTACAAAAAAGTATTGAAGTCTTTTTGATTATTGACTCCAATAGCAGTCTACTTACCATTATCCAACCCTGCATTGTGAAAAACCGACATAAATTCCATTATTTCAAAATACATACCATGTTGATAGGTTATTTCTAATAGGATTTATGTTTTTCACATTATCTGCTCTACACAGTGAAGTAATACCTCTTGGTTAGCTCGTATTTTGCAATATATACTGACCTCTGTCGGTACATTGGTATAACCACACAAGTGGAAAGAGGGAACTGCACAATTCGGCCTCCTTGTGCAACGGTGATGATACACGAAAAGTCAAAGATCAAAACAAGACCTTGGTCACCTCCATAAGAAATAACACACAAGAGAAAAAAATATAGTAAGGAGTACAAAAAACTAAAACAAAAAAATAAAACAGATTTTTGAAAAAGGGCGAAGACATATTACGGAAAATCAAAAAAAAATAACTAAAACAACCCCAAACACATGACACACACACACAGCAAACAACCATCCAACCACCATAACAACCACACTGAAGACCTCTGTCATCATTTTAGGTGGGGGAACTTGCACAATCGGTGGCTGACTAAATACTTTTTTGCCCCACTGTATATGGTGTATAAATAGATGAGTTCTTCCACCAGTTTACTTTTAATCATTAGTTGTTATTCATCAATGGCTGCCTTCCACAGTGTGTCCTGTCTTCTTACCTTCACCCCCAACTGGTCGCAGCAGATGGCCACCTCTCCCTGAGCCTTGTTTTGCTGGCAGTTTCTTCTTGTTAAAGGGAGTTTTTCCTTCCCACTGTCACTAAGTGCTTACTTGTAGGTGGTTGTTTGATTGTTGGGTTTTCTCTGTATTATTGTAGGGTCTTTAACTCGAGGTAACTGTTGTTTCGATCCAGTCCTATATAAATAAAACCACAGTAATATTTGTCCAGATATAGTCACTGTTTCCTTACAAATTTTATACCAGACAGCATTCCCTTCTGCACACGCCTAGAGTAAGTTTAGTTTCAGTATTTCCAATGATTCTGTGACTATTTTGTGATATTCTTTGTGTTAAATCAGTGTGGACAGTTCTTTTTATTTTGCAGCAAATCTCCACAATGCCTAAGCAGACAGACAAGACTAACTGTAGACAGCTGACGTGCAGTTTACCCTCGATAACAGAGGCGTTCTTGTGTGTTTTACCAGAGAACATCATGAATGATTTGACAGCAGTCGCTCCTAGTGTGGTAAAGCAGGCCATCCAGGTCATAAAGGTAACACACTGAAAGCTCTTAGCAAGTTGTCCTTCATGTATAGAGTCACACCTTCATGTATGGAGTCATTACTCACACATATTTTTTTTCTACAGTCAATCAACACTCTGCAAACACAAGTTGAAGGCCTATGCGAAATCCTCAAAATGAAACCCAGCCAAGCCTCTCTGGAGATACACAGAGAAGTGTTTGGTTTTAATGACCAATCAGAGGCTCCTTTTCCTCCTGCGAAAAGAGCCATGGGAAACAAGCAACCAATCAAGAGAGCTGTAGAGGAAGCAGCAGCCGCAGAGGGCTATGTGCCCCAAGCCAAGAAACCAGAGTGCTGCGTGGGAGAGGACAAGCTCGAGTGACACTTCAAGAAACATTAAACCAGTGTGAAATTCCCAAACACTGCAGTTCCTCTAATGGCCACTTGGCTGATCCCAAGAGCCAGCACATCCATAGACTCCCACATTAAAATGTCTAACTTTACAGCGGAAATAAATGTGCTTTACAAGCTACTACAAAAATGTTTTGCTCTCTGTAACCTGCTCCACCCTCTTTAACAATTGTACAAGGTTTAGCTTTAGTATGATCTGGTCTGTGTCTGTATGCAGCTTGCCGTCCAAACTTAGCCAAAAACTTTTCACTGCTCTCTCTGTCAGCACTTCACCAGCACTGTGGTGGCCAAAATAGCAACACTGGGGCCTTAAAATATACCAGATTGTGTCAAAGTGGATACATCCCTTTTTAATATCCAGTCTGTGGCTGAAATTAATAAGTGTAAACATGATCATTCTTTTCCATGAAGCCAAACGGAAGTTTCAGTTCCATGTGTGGGCGGCAACAGAGATACTGTTTGGCAAGTCAAAGCACAAATAAAAATACCTCAAACTGGCTGATTTGTTTGTCCACTTGCAAGGACTAAAGTAGCATCAGAGGTTTAATCTTGTGGAGTTACGTGCAGCATGTTTTTGCATATTATCTCAACTTGATCAGCATCAGATTTGTTCATTTGTTAGTCTAAATAGATTTTTGTAAAGGAAAAACTGATTAGTGTTGAATGAAATGAAATCATTTATGTCATTTCTGTTATCTTGTGCATGATGTATATAATACAATTCCAGGGGCTTTGCTTGTACTTCTTTCTCATATTGGTCACTTTGTGGTCACTTTAATCCACTTTAAAGAGGTTCATAAACCTTAAATTTATGGTTAAAACTCCGTAAAAGCTGTCGGCTTAGTTAAATATATTGTTATGTCATAACTCTTTAAATCCCTTTTCTGTTTTTCAAAACTTTAACTGAGAGAAACTGTAAGTAGTGGATTTATAGTTGTCACCTGCGGAATATGGGAATGATCTGTGCGCACAGTAAAAACAGAAACTTTAAAACATGTTTATGAATGGAAGAAGTGTGTATTTTAATGCAAAACATTTCATTCTGTGAATCTAACCAAATAGTTTTGGTGCATAAATCTAATGTGTGAGTGTAAACAGTAGCTGAACCCTAACCTCCAGGGTGAAAGTCCTGCGTCTCACCAGTTTGTTGTTTTTAAATAGAATCTGCTTCGTCTGTTGATTATCTCAGTTGGCTGTCTGGTAGTCCTGAAGACAAACTTCTTCCATATGCTAAATAAAGGTTAACCATGGGGCCCCACAAGTCACGTGACTTACATTAACTGTGCTCGCCACTTCTTTAAAAAAGGCAGCGAAATTGAAAAGTAAGCTGAAGTGAAACTCGAGCTAGTTTTCTACCCGGTGTGTTTGAACTTGACTGGACTCAGTGCCCAGCACACACACACACACACACACACACACCTATCAGTCTCCTGACAGAACCAGTGTTAAGAACACCGTCGTCTTTCCTTTTAGGTTTTGATTTTAAAGCCTGTGATGTCAGTCTCTGGTTTTTCATGCCAGTCTCAACAGAATAATATCAGCACCAACCAGCTCTGTGAAGGATGGGAGGTAAGAAAGATCACGTCATCGTGTTTTTTCTTAACATGTGTACATTTAGGTTTGTTTTTTTACTGTTTACCTTCCTATTAATCCACGGGGAGGTCAAGGGTCAAGAGGTTTTAAAGATGGTTTAAAACATCATCTTGTGTATATAGGCTGATATCGCTATGGTCGCCCTCGGTGCTTCACATGGAGGTTGTGTGAGAAATAGGCAGATATGTGATGTAACGCTGCCAGTGTCCTCACATGAATCTGCACAAACAAACTCTGGTTAAGCAGTAAAAAACGAGACGTAAAATATCACAATTGTAGAACGTGTCAACGGATTATAGTGTTTGTTTGTGTCAGTGTTTGGAGGATGAGGGGCGGAGGATGAAGAGGAGAGAGAAGAACAGAGTTGCAGCTCAGAAGAGCCGCAAAAGACAAACTCAGAGAGCCGACCTGCTGCACGAGGTGGGTGAACGTATTTCTGCTGATCAGATTCTGATATATGCATTAAGTCGGTGTGTCAAACATATGGCACTTGGGCCCAAAGTGGCCCACCAAAAGGTCTATTTTTGGGCTCTTAACAGGTTTGCAAAATGTTGCAAATATTTTTGGCACTGTATTTTTTTCCTCCATGAAGGTTTATTTTGCAAGTCACTGAGAACAGATTGTGTCTTTGAGACTGATTGTCTGAGACGTTAATTTCATCACAGCCAGATGACCGCCCGCTCACCTTTACAGACTTGTTACTGACCATAACACATCGGCTAAAGTGAGGTGGTTAAACCAACGACCATGCCAACACGTTTCTTTGATTTACAGCTGGAGTGTTTCTGGCTGGCTGTTTTGTTTCTCAAACTGTTTTAGGTTTTACTACAGTTCAGATCAAATTGGGCTGTATGTGGCTGATAAACTAGAGTGAGTATTTTGACAGGTCCTTTCTTGCTTGAAGCTGCTGGTTTAAAGCAAACTGTCAGTTGAAGAGCAAATTTACATGTGGACCACCGGGATAAAAATATGAAGTGAAATGGAGTTAATTAATATTACTTTTATAGCTTTAAAAAAAAAATTTATTAATAAAAAAAAATGTGGTGCGTGTCTCCTGACTGTTTGTTGGCTTTTGAAATAGGGCAAGGAGAGTGCTCTCTGATTTCTCTGTCTCCATATTCTCAAATCCAGAGATGACTGAGTGCTTACAAGCTGGGACTGCAGCAATAAAAATCCCATTGTGCATTTATGCAATGAATGTGTAGCAGCCACATTTATGTGTCTATGCAAAAATCACATTTCCAAAGTTACAATCCCAATCAAAATACCCCAAAGATGAAATGTTCAGTCTAGCTTTTGTTTTCAAATAAATATTATTTTTTTATTCATATGAAAGCTTTTGTTTTTTAATGTAACATGTATTTCCCACTTTGTTTCCCCCTCTTCACCTCCAGGCCTGTGAGCTGCTAGAGCAGAGGAACAGGAAGTTGAGGAGAGAGGTAAACACACTGCTAATTCTGTCTCTGTTCGTCTTTTACAGACAATTTTATTTTATACAAACAGCAGCAAGTCCTGTTTGTATGAAATGCATAAAAAACAGCAGAAATGAAAGCAAATAGTTCTGGTGTACCTCCATTGCTTTTACACAGCAGTAACAGAGTGAATTCATCTCCAGGTGGATTCTCTGTCAGAGGAGCAGCACCTGCTGACCGAAGCTCTTAGAGCCCACGAGCCCTTCTGTCCCATCATGCACTGCTCCTTTGCCTCCTCCACCTCTTCCACCCTGCAGCCCGAGAACATGGCAGCCCGTTCTGTTTGAGGCAGGGAACAAAGTCTCTGAAGACGAGTTAAACTTCTGAATGTATCTGAGAGTTGGTGTCTCTGTAATGCTGCAGTGAACCTCTAGAGAGCGCTGTTCACCACGCTTACACACAGTGACGATGCAACAGGTTCGAGCTGCTGCTGATCTGAAATCCAGGTGAAGAGCGTCCTCTGGTGGTGCTGTTATAGAGCTAATCATGTTACTGAGAGCAGACCTGAGCTGCAGCAAATACGAAGCTATCAGTCGAAAAGCAACGTCAGTGTAATATTGTTATCTTTGTTGTGATCCGAATAAAATACTGACTCATTCGTATGTGGACATATGTTTAACAAAAAGGATCTGGTTATACATTTTCAATGTTCCTAAATGATGAAAGATGGGCCATTACTATTATCTCCTTCGTCTTCTCATAGAAGCTAGTCTGAAGCCTTTGCTCATAAAACAACATTAGTTTAATCAGCTTTAATCAGGGATAGGGATTGAAAGAAATTACACATTAAGTAGCCACTTTATTAGGTACACCTCACTAGTACAAGACTGGACCCTATTTTAACCCACAGAGCTGCTATAATTCTTCATAGCGTAGCGTAGCTTCAGCGAGGTGCTGGAAAATTCATGTGATAGCCTCACACAGGTCCTGCACATCCATGATGAGAATCTCTTGTTTCATGACATTCCAAAGATGCTCTATTGGATTGACATCTGGTGACTGTGGACGTCATCCATGTATAGCGAACTCCCTGTCATGTTTTAGAAACCCGGTGGAGATCATTTGAGTTTTGTGACAGGGTGTGTTATCCTGCTAGATCGCGACACACCCAACTCATCAATAATCACTGCTCACGCTGTTTAAACATTGCTCATTTGGTACTAAGGGGCCCAAAGTGTGCTATGGAAATATCTCCAACACCAGCAGCAGCCTGAACTGCTGTTACAACGCTAGATGGATCCATGCTTTATGTTGTTTTCACCAAATACCGATTCTACAATACAATACCAGCCCAGTGAGCCAGTGTGAACGGTAGCCTCAGTTTCCCGTTCTTAGCTGACAGGAGTGGTAGCTGGTGTGGCCTTCTGCTGCTGGAGCACATTTGCTTCAAGATTGGACCTGTTGCGCATTCAGATATTGCCTTCTTTGGTTGTAATGAGTAATTATTTGAGTTCCTGTTTCTTTCCTGTCTGCTCAAAGCAGTCTGCCATTCCCCTAAGACCTCTGACATCAACAAGGCATTTTTGCCCAGAGGACTGCATATTTTCTCTTGTTCAGACCATCCTCTGTGAACCTTAGAAATGGCCTTAGAAAAATCCCAGCAGATCAGCAGTTTCTGTAATGTCCAGACCAGCCTATCTGGCACTAACAACCATACTGAGTGCAATGTAGTGTAAATCAGATTTCTTTCCTCCTCCGATGCTTGGCTTGAACTTCAGCAGGTTTTTCTGACTGTGTCTACATGGTGTGGCAATACAGTTTCCTAAAGCACAAGACATATTAAAAACCCCCGTTAATAACCCGTTTATTAACTTTAATTCAGAGACAGACAGTTTCTGTGAGAATGCTTCTTCCAGTAGCTGTTTCACTCTGCCAGTGATTAAAAAAAAGTCAAATCTTAAAACCTAATTTTATGATAATCCCTAAAGAAGCTGACACTGAAGTAAAATGTTCCTTTAGCATCATTTTGTGCTGCTATATGCTAATACGCCATGAGCCCTGGTTGAAAGAAAAGCACAGCAATGCACTTTATTTTGCACTTAAGAGACACATGAAATGTTAGCACGTCAAGTACTAAACCCACAGACCACACTTTGAATCAAAGCTTTGTTTTCTAATGCACGGTGGTGCAGCGGTTAGCACACCGTCTCCCCACAACATAAAGGTCCTGGTTTTAAATCTCCTGGTCACATGGGGCCTTTCTGTGTGGAGTTTCCATGTTCTTCCCATGCTTGCCTCGGATTCCTCTCAAAGTCCCACAGTGACACCACACCAAACAACGAGAACGTTAAAACTGCTCACCGTGAATTGTGTGTGTTTGTGTGGGTCAAAATCACAAAAGGTCAAGCTCACCAGACCTGCATGATGTATGAAAACTGCAAAATCTCTCAATTGTGTCACGGGCTAATTGCGAAGCTAATGCTCACCATCATCAGTTTAAGTAACAGAAATGTCTTTGAGGACATCACATCCTTTTACTTGAAGTCCTGAGGTCATTTTGAGCATATGAATAGAAATCTATAAGTTGGTAAATGCTACCAGTTCTCCATTTTGACCGCAACTGCATCAGAGTTTAAGACAGCACAGTACAGAGCCCACTTCAGTTTTCCTTCCTCCTTCCTTCCTTCCCCCTTCACATGAAGAGGTGAGTGGATCATTTCGACACAGAATATGATGAAACAAACCACTGGAGACCAACCATTTCATAGCAAAAGATTTCAGGGAAGCCAAACGGATGCTTTTCTTCCACAAACCTGCTGATGAATTCTTTGAAGACAAAAAGAAACAAAGTGGGAAGGTGAGCTGTTTTCAGCGTGTTAGTGTAGAATTACAGCTGGCAGTAGGCGGCTCCATGGAAAATCAGTCAAAACAACATTAATGATGTCTACATAATGAATAAATTATAATAATATGTATTATTAAAGAGGTGTGATGAATAGTAGTTTTTAAACTTCTTTAAAACTTTAAATCTACTTAGATTCTGGATATTTTTTAACATTGGTGGAATTTTTTAAATAAACACTTAAAGAGATATGCCACTTCACAGCAAAAAGGTCCTGGTCAAATTCACATTTGGGCCTTTCTATGTGAAATTTGCATGTTCTCCCTCTTTCTGAGGAAGTTCTTTCCAAGTACTCCCACTTCCTCCCATAGTATGCTTTCACAGTTTCAGGATTCCCTGAAACTTTCCCTCTAAAATCCATCTAACCACACACAGGTCAAATTTGATCGGGAAAAACCTCTTTGCACACTTTAAGAGAAGTCATTAATTTTCAGGTTAAAAGAATTTATGGTAGTGGGGATAGGCTGCAGCAGGTCAAATTTAACCCATACTCTATGTATAGTGGCAGAAATAATTATTTGATCCCACGTAAAACATGTTATAGTACTTAGTGGAGAAAACCTTGTTGGCAAAGCCAGCGATAAGATGTTTCCAGTAGTTGGCACTGAGGTATGCCTTCAGGACCCTAATGTGCTTCTTCTTTAACCACTCCTTTGTTGCCTTGGTGATATGTTTTGGGTCACTGTCATGCTGGAAAACATGTCCATGACCCATCTTCAGTGTTCTTGCTGAGGGAAGGAGGTTGTGGTCCAAGAATTTACGATACACGCCTCTGTCCATTGATCCCGGTGAAGTTCTGTACCTCTAAAAGATAAACAGCCCCAAAGATTAATGTTTTCACCTTCGTGCTTGGCTGTGGGGATGGTGCTCTTTGGGTCATTCTCACCTTGCGGGGAACTGCAAGACTTCAATCTATCAGATCATTAAAAAACTCAATGTAATTTTGGGCTGATCCCCCCCATTTCTGCATGCGTGGAGCTCCAGACCGAGTGTTATTTTATATCACACCAACAGCTAGCACCTTCTCACTTGCCTTCTTGCTGATGGTCATATTGTCAAATCGAGCCATGTGCGGATTGTCCCTGATGTCCTTTGACGCCTCCTCTGGTCTTGCCCATGGTGATAGACAGGTTGGAATGGAAGAAACTTATTCTGTGGACAGGTGTGCTTTGTACACATAACAAGTTTAGATCATGAGTATCTGATTTACTGGTTGATTGACTGATTGGAATCTGTGTGTCACATGGGCACACTGCACCTGTGTGAACCAGAATTCTGTCGTAGGGGACCACACACTTATTTCACTAAATGACACAGAAATCAATTAATAACTTCGATGTAATGTGTTTTTTCCTGGAGTTTTGGTTGATATTTTCTCTTTTCATTAAAATAAAACTACCGTAAAAATGAGAGACTGGTCATTTCTGCCAAATTCAGTTGGGATCAAATAACTGTTTCCCCCAGCGTGAAGGTTAAAATATTCGACAAGTGGTTTTAAATTATTTCTAATGTTCATTTTATTGTCCATGTGTCTGAATACTTTGGAAAATGAGGAAGTTTTACCTTTTACAGCCTGAAGAAATGAATCATGTTAAGCTGTTGAATTTAAGAGAAAATATTTTGCAAGGATATTAGAAAAAAAAATTCTTAGGACCCAGAAAAAGCTGACCTACCGTACGTCCACTCATTAATCTGCTGCAATGTAAACACCACTGGCCAAAAAACAGTACAAAATGTTTTCTAATGAAACACAGATCAACAGTTTCAGGGAAAAAAATTGCAATGAACTTGCACAACTCCCAGTTGCCTTACTGTGCTGAACTCCACCCATCAAGGTCTCCAAGTTACACAAATTAAACCATATTTGGCCTGGCTTCTCCAGTTCCTCAGACATCCTCAGGAAACTGGCAGCACAGACTCAATGAAACTGAGCCAAGACCAACGTATAAGTGAACCATTCTCTAAAACAACTCATGGTGCACATTAAGTAAGGAAACGCTGCCCAGGCGGAAACGAATATGTCACTGACTTATTCAGAGGAATCCAGTAGGCAGCCTGCTGAGACAGATAATTAAGCTACAAATATATGCTCAATCACACAGAACAAAGATAAAGGCATTCAGGC